TTGCATGCAGTATTTGATTTCCATTTCTGCCCAATTTATCATTGTTCTCACTTAGACAAAACATAAAGCATGAAAATAATACAAAGTCTTGTCCGATCAAGATCGAAGGCATACTGCAGCTGATTAGTTTATAGTTGTGATGTTGACCTGAAATTCCTTTGAGTCGTTCGTAGACTGATGGCATGGAACGATTAAATTTAAAACTATTTTAAGCTAATACGGCTGTGCACAATTTCCTGGTCAAGCAAATTTTCTCTTTGTGGAAAACACGAGTACACACCAAATAGTTCCGAAAATCTCACTGGGTTTAATGTTCACAATCTTTAGTCCTCAAGGTAATAACGACACCAAACAACAAAGTTTTTTCTGCGAACTCGATCAGTTTTTTCTTTTCCGAACGACGAGGTCTGTAAAAGTACTACTCAAAACGAGGTTTGATAAACATGACTTCATGTAACAGTCACGAATGTTCAAACAGTCTCAACATCTTTGCATCGGTCGCCGGAGTACCACGGGTTTGGCAACGCATTGACGGTTAATTGTTTTACACTTTCAGCCAAAAACCATTTGTTTGCAATCGGCCATTTCCGCCGAGCTCCAAAAACTCTCACTTTCAATACGAGGCCAAGTGCAAAACCTTTCTTGCGAAAATAATTTTTTTTGCATTGGAATAAAAAGTCTCGCTGCTCGAGCCACACGCTTGGCTTAGCGAGAACGTACCAGGAGCCACTTTTTACATCTTCGTCTTTACTTCTTCATTCTTGCTTTTTTATCCTCTATTAATTCTTACTAACAGCCCTAACTCTTACTCAACTCCAACTCCTACTCACTAACAAGCCTAATAGTAGCCGTTTAAATATAGACAATTTTGGACATATTTAGGTAGTCTGACAGGTGAGAATACAAAGCAAGGCGAACTCGGTGGGGTTTATCTTTTGATGTGACTGAACCTACACAGCTGTGATTAAAAAGTAGCAACAAACCAATGAAAAACTAAAAACCCTGAAACCAAACCCAAACAGGAACTTAAAGGGGCACAATAAACCAAGGTCGGCTTTGGACCTCCCAAACACGAACATCTTTGTAAAACTCACATCTGGTTATGCCAAGACAAGAATATTCCAAAAATGGAAATTAAACTGCGAGCTAAGCATAAACTCAAGCAATAGTAAAATCAAAAGATCAAACAGGCCGGGAAAACACCCATGTGGACAAAATCCAGACTAACCTTGGCCTACTTCAGCAATGAAACAAACACAAACTTAACAGAAAAGATATAATACGTTAGCTCGTTATGTTAAACTGAGTAACTTTCAAAATACTTTGAAACAATATATATCTTGCAGCACCTTCAGCCCTCACTTTCAAGTTGAATTTCTGATGAACTCCACTGCCGAGTGCCGGTACTGTTTCAAAGGGACTGATTTTGCCTTTAGGAGTTTATATGTCCTGGAGTAGGACATCACTTAAGCCAAAAACTAGGATCAACGATGCGGAAACATTAAATGGGACGTTAAACTTGGTGTCGGAAGTTGATAGTAGGGATTTCCTTTATGTAGTCTATTAAATGAAATGGTTAACGTGTGAGTTATGGACGCACTCAGGAGGTTGCTAAACACGAAAGAAGCGTAAGAGCGTAAGAGCAACTTAAGCTTCTTGAGTGCGTGCAAAAGTAAAACCTGCCATTAAGTGCATGCGTAAGACGATGGTTGTACAGCTGCAACGTTTACCATTTTTTATAACATAATAAATAAAGAAGAACTTTTAATTTTGTTCACAGATAACAGGGAAATGATATTTAGTGTTGGTGTTATGCAATCTGCTCGCGCTTTGGCGAGTACATGAAATCAAAACAACGGCGAGCTCGCGAGAACGAGCGCCTTGCACTGGCGGTCAATAAATCCCCTGCGGTTTATATTTTATCACCCGCGCTCGACTAGCCTGTATACAGACATTGTTTTATTTTTCCTTTCGTTCTTTTTAAAAACATCGGCGAGCTCGCGAGCGAATTGAGCGCGCAAGAACGAATGCGGAGCGCGAGAAAGAAAATGTCTATTTTCTTTTTCCCCCACCACTACCCCCTTGCGCTGGCGGTAAATAAATCCCCCCGCGGTTTATATTTTACCACACTTTCTCGACGGATTTTGAAGAGAAAATAGAGGGACTGTGAACAGGCTAAATCAGTTACGTGTTTACGCACTAAATTCCTCAAGTTACGCAGATAGCAATTAGAAGGTACACATGCCGTGTCAACCAAAAAGCAAAATAGGAAAATCATTTCAAAACGACACAAAATTTTTTTATTACACTAGACTTACATTTAGGTCTCGTTGCGTTCATGTGACACGCATATGATTGTTTTAAATTGTTCAATCCTGGGATTGCCCATTATGTCTGATGACGAGCCAGTGTGTCGCTAAATGAATTATGACATAATTACAGATGTTCCTGGACGAAAGGTTATTTTGTCTGTAGCATCCTCGTTTGCGGTAACTCGATTTTACGTCTCCATCTGGAACATAAAAATGGCCACAAAAGACAAAATTGGAAGATCCATTATTGCGTCTTTCGTAGCTGCCCTTGGATCGATTAGCTTTGGTTATTGCATGGCATACTCCTCATCTGCATTGGTGGATTTGACAAGTTCCGACACACATTCTGCTGTTCGTTTGACTGGTGTACAGGGATCCTGGTTTTCCGTGAGTAAATCTTTGAATTGTCTTTAGCAAACGAGCAGTAATATTGCATAAGATTATAATAACAGCTTTGTGAAATCTGCCTGTATTTATGACTCAGAGAGTTAAAGAATACTAAACACAGGGGCACCCAACGGCAATTTTCGGAAAAATATCTGTTCGGAAGACGATTTGAGATCTAGAATTTTCGGAGCATTTGTTGTAAAATTTCTTGCTTGCCTGCCTCTCCTAGGATTTTCGAACATCTACAAAATGGTATAATTACCCATTTTTAACGGATTTTGACCCTAAAAAAGGCCACCTAGAATTTTCGGGAGCCTTTTCCTGGCTGAAGTTTTCGAGAAGGTAAGTTTTTATCCCTATAATTTTCGGATCACTAGACTTTCAGCTAGGAAATCCGAACAGATGAAAGGTTTTTAGGGGATAAAAATATGCCTATATCTACCGTTTGAATACTAAAATACGTTCAACAATGTTATGTTAAGTGGTTTTGAACTATATCCTCGTTTGGTGCCCCTGTAAACAGCAAGTTGAAAACCGTAATATTTATCATGAAAAAAAAAAAGGAGAAAAATTTTGTTTTCTTTATTGCAGGCACGGTCTTTTATCTTTACGGGAGAGTTGATAGCGCGCCTGAGGCTATTCAAATCTTCTAAATTAATCGGATGTGAGGTCCCAAGCGTGCGCATCGGTGGTTTTTTTCATTAAATTCAAAAAATTTTAAAAAATTCATTAAATTAGCGCCAGGGAATACAAAGCGCGCCCTTAGATTTACCAAAGAAAAAAACTATACTACATTCTAGTGGCTATGTTTCATGAATTTACCTGACACTGTTTTTGCATGCAGTATTTGATTTCCATTTCTGCCCAATTTATCATTGTTCTCACTTAGACAAAACATAAAGCATGAAAATAATACAAAGTCTTGTCCGATCAAGATCGAAGGCATACTGCAGCTGATTAGTTTATAGTTGTGATGTTGACCTGAAATTCCTTTGAGTCGTTCGTAGACTGATGGCATGGAACGATTAAATTTAAAACTATTTTAAGCTAATACGGCTGTGCACAATTTCCTGGTCAAGCAAATTTTCTCTTTGTGGAAAACACGAGTACACACCAAATAGTTCCGAAAATCTCACTGGGTTTAATGTTCACAATCCTTAGTCCTCAAGGTAATAACGACACCAAACAACAAAGTTTTTTCTGCGAACTCGATCAGTTTTTTCTTTTCCGAACCACGAGGTCTGTAAAAGTACTACTCAAAACGAGGTTTGATAAACATGACTTCATGTAACAGTCACGAATGTTCAAACAGTCTCAACATCTTTGCATCGGTCGCCGGAGTACCACGGGTTTGGCAACGCATTGACGGTTAATTGTTTTACACTTTCAGCCAAAAACCATTTGTTTGCAATCGGCCATTTCCGCCGAGCTCCAAAAACTCTCACTTTCAATACGAGGCTAAGTGCAAAACCTTTCTTGCGAAAATAATTTTTTTTGCATTGGAATAAAAAGTCTCGCTGCTCGAGCCACACGCTTGGCTTAGCGAGAACGTACCAGGAGCCACTTTTTACATCTTCGTCTTTACTTCTTCATTCTTGCTTTTTTATCCTCTATTAATTCTTACTAACAGCCCTAACTCTTACTCAACTCCAACTCCTACTCACTAACAAGCCTAATAGTAGCCGTTTAAATATAGACAATTTTGGACATATTTAGGTAGTCTGACAGGTGAGAATACAAAGCAAGGCGAACTCGGTGGGGTTTATCTTTTGATGTGACTGAACCTACACAGCTGTGATTAAAAAGTAGCAACAAACCAATGAAAAACTAAAAACCCTGAAACCAAACCCAAACAGGAACTTAAAGGGGCACAATAAACCAAGGTCGGCTTTGGACCTCCCAAACACGAACATCTTTGTAAAACTCACATCTGGTTATGCCAAGACAAGAATATTCCAAAAATGGAAATTAAACTGCGAGCTAAGCATAAACTCAAGCAATAGTAAAATCAAAAGATCAAACAGGCCGGGAAAACACCCATGTGGACAAAATCCAGACTAACCTTGGCCTACTTCAGCAATGAAACAAACACAAACTTAACAGAAAAGATATAATACGTTAGCTCGTTATGTTAAACTGAGTAACTTTCAAAATACTTTGAAACAATATATATCTTGCAGCACCTTCAGCCCTCACTTTCAAGTTGAATTTCTGATGAACTCCACTGCCGAGTGCCGGTACTGTTTCAAAGGGACTGATTTTGCCTTTAGGAGTTTATATGTCCTGGAGTAGGACATCACTTAAGCCAAAAACTAGGATCAACGATGCGGAAACATTAAATGGGACGTTAAACTTGGTGTCGGAAGTTGATAGTAGGGATTTCCTTTATGTAGTCTATTAAATGAAATGGTTAACGTGTGAGTTATGGACGCACTCAGGAGGTTGCTAAACACGAAAGAAGCGTAAGAGCGTAAGAGCAACTTAAGCTTCTTGAGTGCGGGCAAAAGTAAAACCTTCCATTAAGTGCATGCGTAAGACGATGGTTGTACTGCTGCAACGTTTACCATTTTTTATAACATAATAAATAAAGAAGAACTTTTAATTTTGTTCACAGATAACAGGGAAATGATATTTAGTGTTGGTGTTATGCAATCTGCTCGCGCTTTGGCGAGTACATGAAATCATTCTTTGCAAAGTCTTTTCTTTTAAAAACTGAGCTTTTTGCTGAATAAGTAGTAGTGGTAGTTCTGCGTATCAATCTGGATTTTTAAGCCTTGTCACGCTGCTATCTTTAACGTTTTTTGTCAGCTTTCTCTCAGTCGTGAGACAAATGCCTTTACAAACTATGAGAAAGAAACAATATGAATATACTCGTGTAGACGTGACCCTTACGGCTTTGAACAGGCGCTAGTTAAATGGGTAATTAGCCAATCAGAGCGCGGTCGTTACTTTTGTTATGTTGTTACTTGGCATACAGTAAATCATTATGATATGCTTATTCAGCTGGATATGGTCTACAAAAACGCTGATTTTGTCTTACAGGGTAGAAGCGAGGAAGGGAGCTAGCTCAAATAAATTTTATAACGCAAAGTTAAAAACTTTATCTTTAATACCAATCAAGTAATGATGAAACTTCTTAAGTATGCAGTGAACAATACCGGGTATTAATACAGTTGTACTTACTATATTAAGAAATCAATTTACCAGAGGGCTCTTTATTCTTGCTAAAGTTTATTTCACAAGCCCTTAGAATATTCAAATCTCCTTTCCTTTTTTTTCTTTTTGCAGTCTTTGGTGGCAGTCGGTGCTGTTTTTGGGTGTCCCATAGGTGGATGGGCGATTGATAAGTTTGGTCGCAAGAGGACCTTACTCTTCTGTTCTGTTCCCTTTGAACTTGGATGGCTTCTGATAAGCTTTGCACAGAATCGGGCTATGTTGTACGCTGGTCGCATCACTACAGGCTTGGCTTGTGGCATTGTTTCAGTTGCGGCTCCAGTAAGTTTTTTAAACAAGTTATAAAGAAAAAGGAAATGTGAAAATTCAAAGAAGTGGGAAAATATGTTGTACTATTTATTATTCTGCAAATGAACTAAGAGTGTAAATTGAAGCTTTCTTAAAAGCTTCGATCCGCTAGGAATTCTGGCGTAGGTTTCTTTTTGTGGGAAAAGTTACATTTTGAGAATTTAAATTGGGGATCCTAACTGTGAATTTCTGTTGTCCTAAAGGTATACATCGCCGAGATTGCACACCCACGGACTCGTGGCATGCTGGGTTCTATTAGTACACTGGCCATCGTTACTGGCCTTGTGATGTCCTTTGTAGCAGGCGTCTTTTGTCATTGGAAATTGCTGGCTCTTATCGGTGGAGTCCCTCCAGCCCTCCTCGTTATATTTTTGTACTTTATGCCAGAGACTCCGATATGGTTATTAAGAAAGAAACACAGAAAAGAAGCATTAGACTCGCTTGTATGGCTACGGGGCTCTAACATCGACACCGACATCGAGAAAGAGGGTTTAAAAGTTGCGGTGATAATTGGTAAGAGGTTGCATTTTTCTGCTTATATACTGTTAATGACAAGCCTCAGTCTCAGCTAAAAATACCTGGGACACTTCCACTGTACGCTGTATATTTCCTTCTTGTCCGTCTACTCTCCCTTCCTGTGTTGTTTATCGCAGTTAACTCACCAAATCTTGCAGGTCTGGATCCAGGATAAATACTGACCAATTTCCTAAATGAGCGCCGATGGCACAAATTCCAAGGGGGTCCGGGGGCATGCTCGTCCGGGAAATTTCTTGGATTTTAACTCCCTAAAGTCCTCTTTCTTGGATTTCTAAGTCATTAAGAAAGGATATTGGCCACTTCATTCTCCTCGGATGAAGCCTTTCAAATCGGCTGATTATTTCATCAAGGTCAATTTCCATATTGTAGAGGATACGAAGCAAGGAGAGTACAAACCATTTTCCAGATATTTATTGTGAAAAATCTGACCGATTTCCGTAAAACGATGGAAACCGGTGTGGATCCGCGCCTGCCTTGTGCACTAACAATGAAAGGGCGAGAAGACAATCAAGTGTCCCAACAATTTTGATTGGGACTGCAGGTCAAGCCAACCCCCATAGATTGGAATAATAAATCCATATTGTTTGAAATTTGAATCCCGCGTCAGTCGTTGTCACTAGTGTGAAGCCTGTGTAGCCTCAGAAAACAGCTCGTATCTTACGTCGCCATCACTGGTTTCCCCACGAAACGACGTCTGAAGAACTGGCGCAGAAATTCCATACTGTTGACGTGCCACTACCCAGACCTGGGTGCTGCTTCTGATTGGTCGTGCTGCGAGGGAAGTTTGCATTATTCCAAACAGAAGTAGCACCAAGATCTGGGTAGTGACACGTCATCAGTATGGAATTTCTGAGCTGAATTCCACAGACTTCATTTTGGAGGGAAACCAGTGGACGGCATCGTCGCCACTGTTGGCTGTTTTCTCAGGATAGCGGTACTGGTATGAAATTCAATCTAAATTCCAGAACAACAATAACTTCTCTAGTTATTCGGTCAGACTCAAAACACTCCTTCACACTTGGACTGGATTAAGCTCCTAGTCTTCCTATGAAGGCAATTATTAAAAAATAAAGCTGTGTTGAAAGAATTTTAAAAAAATGTTTTTACTTAACCTCGCTTGTAAACTCATGTATTTTAATTGCATGGCTCAAGAATTATAATATTGCTAATGACTAACGATTCAATTTTCAAATACTGAATGGATTCATTAACAGAATCTATAGGGGAACGATGAATAACACGAAAATCAGAAAATAAAAATCCATCTATCTTTAAAGAAAAGACAAGACGGCATTCCTTTTTTGGCAGCATTTTGTACCTAATTGCCTTACTGCCTCAAGGGCTGGTCAAAAGAAATGGACAAAAAAATGAAACAAAAGGTGGCTAAGAATCCCGGAGGCAATTCAGTTGGCTATTCTACAAAAACTCCGGGCCTCAAAATTACAAGTCCAGCGCTCTAACCGCTCGGCCAGTCCGCACTTCTCCAAAGGTTTAAGGGAAGAAAAATGTATTTAACTCATGTTAAGCTACTGTGCGCATGTCCAACTACTGTGCGCTATTCTTTTGAGGTCAGAATTTGCTGAAGGAAGTAAACATTGTTGTTTTCATTTGATTTTTTTATGTCTTTATTTTATCTTGCAGGTCATGAGGAAAAGCTTTCATTGCCTGATTGGTTATCACCTGTGATAACAAAGCCCTTGATAATCAGCGTTGGATTAATGATTTTCCAACAGCTATCTGGAATCACTGCTGTGGTATTTAATGCTGCTAGTATCTTTGCAATTGCAGGCTTTACAGACAGCAAACTTGTCAGCATTTCAGTTAGTTTGGTCCAGTTTTTAGGCACCAGTTTGGCATGCTTAGTGATTGACAAGACGGGACGACGAGTCCTCTTGTTAACAATGTCAATTGCTATGTCCTGTACTCTTTTTGGCCTTGGCGCGTATTTTGAAATCTGCATACCACCGATGGGTGCAAATTCGTCTTATCACGTAGCCCTCTTGTTGGGTACCATCAGCCATTCAGTCCCCTCATCAAAGATAAACTGGCTTGCCATCGTCTGTATAGTTTTGTTCAACCTGTTTTTTGCTTTCGCTTGGGGTCCCGTACCGTGGCTTGTCATGTCAGAGATATTTCCCCCGCGAGCTCGAGGCCCTTGCTCCAGTCTTGCAACTATTGCGAACTGGCTGGCAGTATTTATTGTTACCAAGACATATAACACCATGCAGACGTCAATGAGCATTCAGGGAACATATTGGTTCTTCGGGGGATGCTCTATGCTTGGATTTATTTTTGTTTACATGGTTATGCCGGAAACTAAAGGGAAAACTTTAACAGAAATCGAGGCTATTTTTGACCAAAGACAAATCGGAATGTCAGATAAACGGATCAGTATTCAAGACAGTCTTACAATTTACAAAAGCATTGATTAATGATTTAAAGAAGGCGCTTAGTTCGCTTAGTTAGGAACTTAGAGGAAGTTCCTCTCAACATCCAGCCTTAAAATCACAGATTCATGACAAAATATACAGTACCCTGCAAAGTCATAAGATCTTTTTCAGCCCTAAAGTGCCTATAGCCTTGTGGACCCATGAGCACACTCGCACAATCTTACCCTGAAACAGTTCGATTAAGGGATTATTTGTGTCCACTTTGGGTTCATCTTCGCCTGTGTGTTCTCAGTAGCAGTTGAAAAAAAAAAAAGACCTTTTTGTGCGTGGTCACCACTTTCACATTCCCGATAGCACATTTTGCTCACCCCTCAAAACTTTGCTTAACCGTTATTTTAAACTTCCAAAGACATGAAAGGGATCTTAATGAAATATCCAGGAGGAATTGGAAACAAAGGTTATGCGTGAGTTTGGGGAGATTTCTGAGGAGTAGGGTCGGATATTTCAAATTCAACTTGATTACGACGCATTTGAAATAGTGAGCACAAGTAATAAAATGTATTAAGCTTATTTTTATGTTTCCTTTCTCTACTCGAGATCTAGTTATTAAGCTGAATTTGAATGTATGAAAATCTGCTTTCTGTTAAGATAGCGAAAGCAACCCGAAAGAAACCAAATTTGGGGCTTAAATGAATCTTATGAACTTACTCTACAACACTATGAAGTTCCAACTGTTAATTACAGGGTTAAATTACACAGACTGTGTCAGCTGATTTGGAGTTTGCCTGTGTTTTTTAGAACAGTTTCATATTTGCAACTGAATTTTAAACGCTCACTTAGTGACTGTTCGGTTAGACTGGCCTTATTGGTTCTTTCACAGCCACTTTCAGAACTAAGATCCTTCGGAAATAGCGTTAATTAGAGGTTCCTGGTCAAAAAGGAACTAATGTGCAGTTAGGTCACAAATGGAAATAAAGTACATGTAAAGTACGTTTGAGCACGAAAAAAACCCTTCCCTTAGTACAAGTATGCTGCCGGGCCCAAGGCCGTGTAAGTAGACTGCAAAATAGTCCGTATTTTTGCGTATTCAAGTACGCGCGAATAGTAAGACTTTAACGCTATTCTTAAGCTACGCTAGCGCTGAACCGATTTTGAGAGGAAAATCGACTGTTTTGCAGTCTACCGTGCGAGTGCGAACAAGATTAGTTATCAATTTAAACCTTACAGATAGAAATCAGTCGATGGAAGGAAGCGATTTACCCAACGAATCACTCCCTTCGCGAGAGCCATAATTTTGCCATGAGTTTGCCCCGTCTAGCATCAACACTTCTTGCACCCTTGTGCTAGTGACACGTAACACACACAAAAGAAACTACAGAACTGAACTGACTCTTTGTTACGGCCATCTTTATTATATAGACAACACCTTTCCGACGACGGATAACACGTGACTAGAGTCAGAATTATTTTTCAATCACTTTCACTCCTCCAAAGACAAAATCCTTAAACTGCTCCCACCAGTTGATTGTGCCTTTGGTAATGTGACATTTTTTGCGTTGTTTGACAATAACCATCCTCGGAAGAACACTGTCCCATACATTAAGCTGGGATAATTCGCCTACAAACGCTTCTTCGACATCAAAGTCTCCAGCAAGCTTGTCCTGGTCTTGACCAAGCACCAATGTCCCTCCTGCTCTGATCTTGTAACCCTTTTGAAAGTCAGAACCCATGACGACTGTTTTGCCGTGTTTGAAAAATCTGTATCGTCCTGTAGAACTCTCCCAAGTGAAACAAATATGGTGCCATTTACCGTCTTCGATGGAAACACTGGTTTTCCTGTCAACAGACAAACACGGGCAAGAAAAGACAGAATTTTGGGAAATGAAAAGAAATGCTCAAAGTTTTAAGTGACGGTTTTTTCACCCTATTTTCAGTAAGACAAACTGAAGCCCTTGTGAACTAGTGCTATTAAGGAGTGATTATATATTCAGGCTATTTCTTTTGGCAATGTATTAAATTGGGCATTCTTTCAGATAAGAATTCGAGCCTTAAAGTTTGACAATCCTTGGCGAAAAACCAAACCGTATTCTTTTATAAATATCGACAAGAGCCATAATGGGAAGGCTCTCTCTCTTATGGCTCTTGATATCGATTAACAACTTCGGAGAATGATTGTTTTAGGGCGTTCCGCTGTAAAGAACGAAGGCCATATTCCTGTAGGCGGCTTGAACTAATAATAAACATCGCCAGACAAATAAATGGAACACCAGCCACGTGCACGATTTCTTTAAACTCAATCACTATCGGCCCTGTAAGGTTTATGTATTGTTAATTTCTTGCACAGTCAACTGTCGCTTAGCTTAACCCTCTAACTCCCAATAGTGACCAAAATCAATTTTCTCCTAATGATATCCATACATTGTCAAGAGATTAGGTTATGAGATTTAAAAAAGTGATCACCAAAGCTAAAATGCCTTGATCGTTTATCAAATTCTCTCAACTCATTCTTTAAGGAAATGTGTAGAGACCAGTTTGGAGAATTTGTGTGTGGATATTGGGACTTAAAGGGTTAACAGGCACCTCCCTAAAACTGAACTCCCACTGTGGGTCCCTACAACTAATTCAATCATTTCCTTTGACTCACTTGGCTATTTTGAGCTCGCGAGCGAGACCAGGACTATCTTGGTACCATTTGCTTTGTGGGGCAGTTTTGGGAACACTTATCACATTAATTAATAGGCTACAATAAGTCGGGTCCCCTGGTGCAAATCGACAGTCTCATGGGTAATATCGAAGTGGTCACTAAGGCAGAAAACTCTCTAAAACAGACACTTTTAATAAGAATTCCATCCCAAGAAAACCTAAAGAAGGAGATCATGGTGGAAAAACATTAAATCTGTTACCTGGTAGTTCCATTGATCAGCACTTGAAGAGTTGGAGATGTGCAAAAAGAAAACTCGTTGTGTTGACCAGGGACGGCGTAGCTGTAAGGACACTGTTTTTCATAGCTGCTGTCAGACGCATTGTCTTTTACAAAGGAGCACAGTGTTACTGCCCTGAGTTCCTGTTTAATGGCGTTCCTTATAAGAACGTAGTTTTCGACTCTTCGTTCAGGAAATACCATTCGGTAGCCTAGGAAAGGAAGATGCATTAGAAATTTTAACCGCTTTACTCCATGAGTTAGTCAGTGATGTAGTCTTGCAACGTGGTTATAACCTTAACTCAAGGAGTCAAACTTTGACAGTTTTTGAGTCTGCGGACAGGATCCTGTGTTGTGACCATTCCAATAAAACCCTTGACAGGCTTTTATACTATTTGTTTCTTAGCAGCATTTATAGAAAGAAAATTTGAAATTTTGTTGAAACTTGAATTTCAGTGGTAACTTTGGGAGCGAAAGAGTAAAGATTACAGTACCTAATTTCTAAAAAGCCCCATTCCCGGAAAAGGTTCCCTTTCAGCAGACATATTATAAAGAATCACCAGCATTCTTTGTGCGGTACACTAAAATATCGTTTTATACAATTAATACAAATTCAGTCTTTTGGGCTCACGTTCTATCAATACTATACTAGTAATTTCTAGTAAGATCCCAGGAGGAAAGACAGAAAAACTTACTGAGTTACCACGTGTTCCTCAAGCCAACTGATCGAGTTGTCTTTAATCTCTTTAAAAGTTTTTTTTTAAGCTTGACAATTTATAAAATTAGTATGAAAATGGAACATTTATCAAAAGGTCAGTTTCAAATATCAAAGTTTGTACTTTACTTCGAGGCTCAAGCGGAGGGGAGGAGTTTGCTCGGTGACTTAATTGAGACAAAAATTACGAAGTTTTCCAAGGGTACTACCCAGATCTTTTTTCCCTAATTCTTTGGTACAAATAATGATTTGATGCAATATAATATCCTTGTTCCAGGTCTGTGTGCAGCATAACGTTTTAATTTGAAATCACACCAACCCTTCCTCTTTCTCAAAAGCGAAATTGTCAGCCACTAACTTACTCATCTTAGTAATACTGCAGGTTCTATTCGCTGGTTTTGTTGGTGGCCCTCCCAGAGGCCCTCTTAGGGGTCCTTTTGGAGGTCCTCTTGGTGGCCCCCTCGGGGGTCCTTTCGGTGGTCCCCTTGGATCCATGAGCCCCCTCAGCATTTGCTGTGAGTCCTTCACACCGAGCATTACAACAAAGATGAATATTGCCATGGAAACCAAAGACAACTTCATCTACAAAAAGTAAGTATTTAAATACACACAAGAAATAAGTACACTGTAAGCTTTAAAGGAACTGTGTCACGAAATTTTTCACAAATCAAACAGTTGGAACTGCCACCAAGTTGAATGAAACATGAAAATAACGGCGCTCAAAACGTTAAAAGAAGTTACAAATAACACAGCAAATATAACAGGAGACAAGGTTGGACAAACCTTAAAGGACTGATTGAGTGCGATTACAACTGTGGTTTTGAAAATTTTTAACCTAACAGTTTTTCAAAGTTCATTTTTGTTGTTTGTAATACCTGATATAATGCTTGGGAGACATTTTCGTTTGACGAGAAGCTGTGATTTTGTCATTCTCAAGAAATTTCTCAAGTTCCATAGTGACTTATGTACGCGTTATTGGCATTGTTAACAAAATATGAGAAAGACAGCCGTGACACAGCCTTTAATAGATTCAAGTTTTCTTCAATCATAAGGTTCCAAATAAAGTTTATAATTAATCAGGGTGGTCGGGAAAATGACATGAAGCAATTCAAATTCAACACTACGATGTGCGAGTCCTTGAGTGACATAGAAAATCTCTCATAAGCGATCACCACGGGAACCCATAAAAGTCAGTGGTAGCAACTAGAAATGGTCTTTTACGAGAATGGGCTCTCGTACCCAAATTTTCTGGATCGAAGAGGGCGACTTTTAATGGGCATGCAAGTTTGAGAAAACAGCGGGAACAGGAAAAAATTGGTCAGGAATGCAATACTTACAATTGTAATGAGCTTCTTTAAGGATACCGCGTCCGGCTTGTGTCACACAGCAAAAAAGTTTAGAATGACGGTCAAAAGTTTTCTCGACTACACCTGTACGTAAGGTTCGAACGAAGCGTAAACTATTAACTGTATACTGCAAAGGCTGAATTTATAAAGAACAGGCCATTGATTATTTACTAGGTTACATCACACAGCCTATTTGTGCAATCTTGTCACCGTCATGCTGATTATCAGCACATTCATTCAACCCTTTGGTTGTAGTTGATTCATGTATAATGAAAAAGTGTTTTGAATATAATACTGACCAAATAGGACATGTACGTGATGCCATTATCACTGGTTGTTACACTCGAGGGTAAAAGTTTGCGGGATACTTTTTTCTTTAAAATTATTCCTGGAAAGAAAGCTATAAACTGTCAGTAATTCAGGTAAACGTTAAATTTTCAAACTCCAAATTCAGATTGACAACTTATAAAATGCATTTTGCTGCAGTTTCTCCAAGATGTAAGACACGAATGAACTTTTTTTTACTTATTCTTTGCAGTTAAAAAAAGACTTAATAAATGTGTACGTAGTCACTATGGCGTGTCAAATATGTTTTATTCTACGCGAAAAAAAATATCTTTTTTGGCATACATTTCACAATAGGCTGATTTGGGCTTTTTATTGAAGTCACCATGATGATGCAATAGTTTGCTAATTATCACCAGGAATAGCGTTTTAGTCCAAGGCTGTAGTAGCGAGGGAGGAAGGGGTACTTTTTTATTTTCAGCCTCTACAGGAACTAACGAATTGCCCAGGGGTGGTTTGATATTATGCAGGATAATATTGTGATTAATGAAGAGGATTAGTAGCCAATAGTAGGTTATTATCCGCAAAAATGACCTCCTATTCCGCCTCAGTGACCAGTGCTCTTCATTTATTGAAAACCAATGGACAACAAGACAATGGTAAGCTGCGCGCTCGGTCATTATTTTTAAGAACACATCGAGGCTCAGGCATTATCCTAAATATCACCATAGTTATTAGAGGAGAATGGTTATGAATGGCAACAAACCATCAAATATAAAAACAACAGTGCTGTCGTTTATGTTGAAAGCTCCCTGATGATGCACAATAATATGTTTTCTGTTGGCAAATTGTGACGGAATAAATTAATGGGAAGCGTTTATTGGTGAATAAAATCAAAATTTTAGGAATGCTATTGAACGTTGTGCATCGTGTCAGGTCCACAAAAACATATACCAAAGGAGTCTGACGGGTTTCATAATCATTCCACTCTATTAACTATGATATTCACAAAACGACTCTCTCACAACAGAAATTTAATACATCTAAAACCAAGCTTCTATAATCCTTGATAGTTTACGGACTGTTTGGCTACGTTTTGAAGGTATGAGCTAGTGAGGAAAAAAAAAAATCATATATAAAGACTAGAGCCCTTTAGGGAAAGAACAAACACAATGTCTTGTTTACATAGTATATTCGTCGAGGCCTTGATTGCCTTAAGTAATATCCTGACTCCTGCGGAGTTCCAAGAAATTTTCTTTATTACTCAAAAGAAAGCATTATCATGTTCAGATATTGAAATGATGAATTCAGATAACAAGAGTCAAGATCTTTCAGGCTAACATCACGCTCCGGCTGATAGCAGCTGCAGGTAGAACGGCAAAATGAAAACCCAACCGAATCGTTCTGGAAATGAGCTCTGCAAATCGCGCTACAAAAGAGCACCTGCTTGTGCGTTATTGTGTAAATTACATTTTTGTACATTTCTTTGCCTTGTCTTGAAAACAACACCCCAGCCGTAAATGACCAATTGCAAGATGGAGGTTCTCTGATTTGCAGAGAATGTGAACACACGACAGTGACAATTATTTTTTTTTAACTGATCTGGACTGCGATCAGTCTCTTATTTTTTCTTTGCAAAGCTACTGCACACGAAATCCGCATGCGAGCCGCGTCTTGTCCCAATCCCTTGTTGTAACATAACGTCGTTGTTTGTAATCGCGCCGGCTGAGATAAGAACTAGACGGATTTTAAGGGAAAAGGTGGACTGTAAGCAGTCCATAACTGATCACCCTCGAAGACTGTAAGTTACCGTCCATACAGCTCTTAGGTACTTCAACTACATTGTACATTAAGCTAAAAGAGCTGGAATAATCGCTACAGATCCTGCTAAGATAAAAAGAAAAAGATTTGGAAAGAATTCCGTTGCCCTTCTCGCTGATTAAGCGCTGAAACTGAGTAAGTAATGGAGTTAAACTAAAGCGAAAACAGTTTAGGCTGAAGTCTTAGCAGAGGGTCTCAATGGGGTGCTAGTTTTGACGGTTAACGGTTATTAAGTGGAAATTTAGTTCAAAAGTTAATTTAAAAAAGTAAATATTAGCTTCTTTATGAATAAATATTTACTGTTGTGTGTTGGAGGTTGTCTTGGCCTTTCACTTATAATTTTCGAAATATTTTCCGATATTAGCAGGTCAGTAAGGTATTGTAATGTCTAGAAAGACCATAAAAAGTGGTTTTTGAGAACATGCGAACTGTTTTTTTTTCAGTTTGGAACTGATTCTTCAGGAGCCGGAATGCCGCGAAGATCAACTGAAATAGTGAGATCTGAAATGCTTTGAAGTTTTTTGACGGTTTAACCTTAACCTGCATTTTTGACGGTTGACCGTTAAATTTTAGGCCATTTGACTGCTGACGGTAAACCCCATTGAGATCCGCTCACAAGAGGAAGTAGTATTTTATACCAAATTTTGAGCGCATCACTGCATGGAACCTGTTCGGTCTGTATTTTCTCTTAAAACACTAATTTCGATAAACTCCCCCAAAAAACGTAATCACAATTTTTCTTGGAACGAGAAGAGGAAAGGTTGGGATCGGGAACCCACGCCTACCCTTCGCATATTCAGTGATGTTGTCCAGTTTAGATTAAGAAAATAGAACAGTGAGGTTTAGATGATAAGTTGTGTTTTTAATAAAGCGTCGCCCCATCTGGACAACTATCATATAGAAGCCAGTTAAGAGTACTGAGGTAGCATAGTTTTGTTCAACTTTAATTTTTCGTTGGAACCGGGAAAACAAGGCTGGCCGCCCAGCCGGGTCACCCTTTTTCGATCTTAGAGTCTCCCTCCTATCCGGGCCAACTTCTCCCCATATAATCAATTTGTGTCGTCTAGTCGGGTCGACTCAGGTCAAGGCGAGACAACCACGGCATGCGCGAACGCTGCTGCTTCCAGCAAAGGGGTCAAGTTTTTCCCGATTAAACACTCGCTAAAATTGACTCGGTTGGGAGGGTGATCCTCTTAGTTTCCCTGCACGTCTTTTCTGCACCTTTCCTCCGCCAAGAGAGAATAATTTAAGACGTAAACCACAAAGTCAAATTAGACTTTTAGAGAGTGCGGAGTTATGGTAGAGGTTTTCCTATTTTCAACTGAAACATTTCAAGTAATTACATGCAACTCATCGATCCTTCAAAACATGATCAATTCTAAATGGTAAAGGCGGTCAAAGCAGTAATTTTTCTGAGAATGATAAGATCAGGAAATCCACGTTTACAAATAATTCTTATCCTTCCTTGATTACTATCCATCTTACAGTGGGAGAGTGGGTCAGTTCCGACCTTATTTGACGCAGCCTCATGCCGGTGATTAGCGAAAGATTTCCATAATTCGATGAGTGATTTCAAAGTTTTTGAGATTGTCTTCTACGGTTTACCTCCACCTCTTTTTCCGTCTACTCTTGTGTCGGTCTAGAAAACAGGACGTCTCGTTTAAATAAGCAGAGTCAATGGAGGATAGAGATGGAAGGATAACATAAGAGGAAGATTAAAACAAGAATAGGGTGCCCTAAGATAAAACATAATGAAGGTAGGGAAATAAATTAAAAGCAGAAGCACAAATCCAATCATTTGCTAAGCACTCATAATGGCTGCGAATGTGTAACGAATTTCCCCTCGTATAAGGAGTTCAAGTGCTGCAATGGAATCCGGATACGACAGTAACCACAAAAATTGATTTAACCCCGGCCTGGTGAAAGTAAGAACTTCTTGTGGTTTTTTTTCCATTGACCCTGGCTTATAATCAGTTTTACATTTACAGTTGAACCTCCCCACAGGACGGCCACCCTGGGACATAAGAAAGCGGCTATTATAAAGAGGAGACCTTTGTATGGAGGTTTAAACAAGGAGTCAATGTATGGACAGTATCCCATGGTATGGATTACCGTAAAATTCCGAAAATAAGCGCCGGGGCTTATATTTTTCAAAGACCGGCTTTTTAGGGGCTTATTATTGGAGGGGCGTATATTCTGACGGGCTTATATTCGGAGGGGCTTATGTAAGGAGGGAAATTTGCGTTTCAAAGTCGACTGGGCTAGCTTGTAGTTGGAAGGAAATTTACCGTTTTTGCTTTGTTTTACTTCGTATAAGAAGACAATTTCCAAGTAAAAGCCCTCGCGGGGGCTTATATTCGGAGGGGCAATTTTACGGAGGGCTTTTTGCGTTACAAGTTTAGGGGGCTTATATTTGGAGGGGTTTATACATGGAGGAGCTTATTTTCGGAATTTTACGGTACTTTTGCCGCATGGCCAACTTGCCCACTTGAACAAGTGGCCGTTAGCTGGTTAATTCATCATCTTTTGTTAATACCTTACAGCGCACTCTCGACCGTTGTTGATCCCAGCAGTATGAAGGACGCATGTCAAATATGAATCAACTATATATTCTTGCTCTTCACTAGTCTCTCAATTGCTTAGAGGCTCGATCGCCCAGCCGGTTTTCGGGTGTGGTAATAGGCTTGTATTCTGTGTCAGGGACTCATGTGTCGGGGACTCATGTGTCAATTCCACATTTCTGTTTTGCCTCGCGCTCATGACAAGCCAGCTGGTTATCTCATTTGCCTAGCTTAAAATTAAATTTAAGAAATTGTAAAAGTGCGCAGCGTGCAACCATCGTTATAGATGCAAGAGGGAGGTCACTAAGCACGAAAGAATTGTTATAGAAATGCTTGAGGCGTAGCCGAGAGCAACTCTAACCTCTTGAGTGTTTAGCAAACCTCTCAAGTGCATCCATAATAACTTGGTGGTTGCACAGCTGCAACCTTTGCAAATTTTTTTTATAACATGGTTGAAAGAGAAAAACATTTTAATATTAAAGTTTGTTTACGGTTGGGTCACTCAAGGGAACTAACGAAATGAGGTGCGCTGTCATTTTTTCTGCACGTTAACAAACCTTGCAGTTGAAATTTTTCGTTTACTGAATCGGGCGTTCTCCCATTTAAGGCAGATTGTAAGGTAAGACTTCTATATTCAGTTTAGAAAAAGTAGAAACACCAACGCATTGAAAATTGTCCAAAACTGAAAACCACCTCAGAGTCAAAATTGACTGAAAAATTCCCCGAAATCGATGCTGAAATGATGAGAGTTCAATTTATGATGTTGTCCCAATTTCCTGCTCATTTTTGTGAAAAAAAGGAATTAAAAACCCAAACGTTTAACCTAAAATGAAATTTACATTACAATGTTTGCTTTGTGGATACGTTCATTCAACTAAAATGGCTTATGATAGATCATGACCAAATTCAAATCTAACTGCTGTCTCGAATTAGAGTGTATCTTCTACAGTATTTCTTTGAATGAAAAACTAGTCAGTAACATGACGAAAGTCTTTCAGAGCGTAATTTGTTCGGTAATCATAGCGTGCACATTATGAGCCTTGAAAGCCTTGAAAACCTTGGCTTGATCGGTTGTTCTAGTGGGCTCACCGCTTGGAAGAAAGAAAGGGTGAAGTCTTGAAGGCCTCTCTTTTGCTATTCTTCGACGGCAACTGAGTATTTTTTTTGAACGTTTGTTTTCCATTTGTGGATTTTAGCATTGCTTTCTTTAACTTATAAGAGAGGGAGAATTAATAAATTTTTAGAATTTGCCCTTAAATGGATTTTTTTTCACCGTATTTATAACTTTCAGCGCATGCGTAGGTGTTCCTCTAGAGATAAGGCTTGGTAATGAACGTGATGGAAATACCTTAACGTAATTTTAGAATTTGTCAGTGTTTGGACAACATACACACATAACGAACTTCACAACGTTCTTCCAATTTGAAATATGGAGACAGAGAGTAGAATTGGCTGATGAAATTCGTGAAGTGATTGCAGGGTTTGATTTACATTTATCTTAAGTTTGTTTTTCCGAAAGGCTTTAATTTTCTATGTACCGAGGCTCGTTTTCATGTAAAATGTGATCTACTTTAACTTATAAGGGCGAGCTTTGTTGAAAGAATGATTATGAGTTTGTTCTACGACAGCAGTAATAACAGAAAACTTTGTGGGAATAACTTTGGCCACGATTGTGGCATAATTAGCAAACTTAAAACACAGCAATAAAAATTAATGGCGTGCTTGATGTCTTAGTCGGAAATGGGGCGACAAAATTCCGCCACAAGCCACACTATGCGGCTGGAGCCCTGGACATCAAACATTAAGGGCTAATGTGAAAGGAAAGGAAAAAGATAATCATCGGCTAGACGCAGAAAGCCTGACCATCTTATTTAAATTCTATACAGTAACTATAGCTTAGATTAACTAGCGCGAAAGACATACTAGATCTTCTAAGGTGCAGCCCAATGATTAACCAACTCAAAAGACGACTTTCCGCCGGAAATAGCTAATGACCGATCTCAATGCTGAGTTTGGTGAAATTTTAAAGCTGTTAAAAAGTCTGTTTTTTACTGATTCCTAATCAATGCAATTGGACGAAACAAATAAATTTGTTCAGCAGTGGACCACGACGGAAGGTTTGTGTCTTAGCTCCTCTCATTAGTTTAGGACTGAAATAAATTTTTTTCTTCTAAATGCGACGATTCCGAATCACGGGATAAGAGATTTTAGCTCTAAAAATAGCTCAGTTTCTAATTGGTCATTAGTTTGCTGATCGTGAGTTGTGCCAGAGATATGACAAGTTTCATATTAAAATCAAAGGGTATAGAAATATTAACTTATTTAGACACCAAATTGCTGGTTTGCTTGATTTTTTATGCATTTTTAAGTATGTGTATTTTTTTTAATACTAAACATTAAAAAACTCCTGTATCACATACATGTCTTGCTTGACCATTAATCGGCACCAAATGTGCTTCAATGTTTTATAGAACAATTAAAGCTATGGCTGTGATATTTGTCACAACATGTTTGCAATGTTTTAACCGTCTGATCACGTTTGTTTAAAGAAAAGGATGGCTATATAACCTTGACTATGTTTTCTTCGGAAGCAGAGTCAGCAAGTATTGCAAATAAGTATCGTGCCGGTTTTACTTTTCCAAAGCTCAAATCTGTTTTGTACTTAGCAAAGATTATGCTTGGCTTACAGTAAAAAAGAATGTGGCCACGAGAGTGAACGTGATATTTGTTTTAAGAAAAGCAACTAAAAAGAACACTCAAACAGTAAAATCACACTGATTTGCATATTTGTCTGTAAAAGAAAATAAATAGCTTTCAATATAATTCAAACATGATTTTGATTGACAGTTTGGGATTTAAATAAACCCATTTAATTTAATTTGTGTCAAAGGATCAAATGACGAAATGACTTGAACTGACATCTTTGATATGGATAGCAAAAAAAGATCGTAGCTGTTGAAGTGAAACTGATCGTAGCTGTTGAAGTTTAAGGATTTAGACATTTGATTTGTGAGTGATATAATCAGTTCCCTGCTCAGAATCATCTGTTATCAAAAGTACATCAGATCATCAGATTTGCCGGTGACATCCATGAGTGTATTTATTTGACATAATCATTTAACGCACGAAGACTGGCAATAGACCCTTCACGCTTTTGTTCTTTGACATGCACCATTTAGGGAAAATCAGTCGACACCACTGGAAAGACCGCCTTAAGATCAATAAAATGGACAAATTTGAAAGTCACTGTAATTTGTCTACAACTAACGAAGGTATAGCTCCTCAAACTGGCGAAATGTTACCGACCTTTGTATGGTAGGGGGTAAACAAACGTTATTAAATTTTTCGCAATTTTGCAAAGCTATATATTATATCTTCGCCCGCTTTATAAGACGTATCACTTTCAAATTTGACAATTTCACTCATTTTAAGGTGCCCTTTCCAATGGTGTTAACAGATTTTCCCAAACTTGTCCATGTTAAAAGTTGAAAAAACCGTGGAAGGGTCTATAGAATCTGACTCAAGGTGGATTTCCACTGTCGCTTAATTTTTAAGTGCTTTACGCACGTAAATTTTATTTACGCGCGTAAATAGTGTGGAGGCAATGTATGGAAGGTCACGCGTAAACGTAAAAGTTGAACCTCGCTCAACTTTCACGTTTACGCGTGGCCTTTCATACACTGCCTCTATTTTATTTACAAGCGTAAATTTTACGTGCGTTCCCAAGGAAAAATTACGCTACAGTGGAAATCCGACCCTCAGTCTCACGTTTATCAGTCATTAGAATGCTTCTCACGTTTTTAAAATGTCTTCCTGTTTGTTTCGTCAACAGAAAAGAACTACTGCACGGACACATGTTTCCGAAGCCTTATCAACATGAACAATTCAACCGAATTCACATCTTGTTCTCGCGAGGTCTCTACACTGTTTATAACGATAACGTCCGTCATCAGCTTTGTAGCGTTCACCGGGAACCTTCTTGTGACAGCGACGTTCTTTAGCACACCAAGCCTTAGAACCAGCACCAACTTCTACATTGTCAACATGGCTATCTCTGACATTTTCGGCTCCTGCTTCAATTGGTTGCTTTACGCAGTCGAAGGAATGCTAACGAGTAGAACCTTGATCAACGGTCACTCAGCTCCAATTTTATGCAAAGTTGGGATGTATTCCAGGGCCGTTTCACAACTTGTGTCTGTGCTGAGCTTGGTTTTAATCGCTTTTGACAGATACATCGCTGTTGTGTTTCCTTTGAAGGAAATATCTTTTGGAATGGACCAGGGAAGAGTTCGCCTAACATTATCACTTTTCACTTGGTTGATAGCGCTGGCTTATGGCTATCCTTACATCCTCTACGCTGAAGTGGTCAAAGTGGATGATCAAACGTTTTGCAGAGCAGTGTGGAATTCCAAATTGGTGGTCGCAATATTCAATGGGGTCGGCTTCTTGTTGTTCTTCTGCACTCCTCTGATAACAATTGCCATTCTTTATTCCCGCATTTTAAAAGCATTAAGAGAACGGCCAGCCACCCAAAATGCTACGAAAATAAAAAATCATAAGCAAAACCAGCATAAGAAAGTAACAAAAATTCTGATCTCGATTGTTGTCACATTTTTCGTCTGTTGGACTCCACTTTGTGTTTACCTGACTCTGAAAATGTTTCGACCAAACCTTTTCCTCAAGGACAAGTGCCATATTATTGTAGCCTTGTTCTTTTATATTTTTCCAACTCTTAACACAGCAACAAACCCTCTTATTCTTTTTGTGTTTAGCACAAATTTTCGAATTGCCCTGGTGAACCTAATTACTTCAAAAGAGAACATCATCTATCCGTCTCTCGATGAAAGAGTTAGGCCATTGCATATAAATACTGTTCAGATGTCAGAGCTCCATTAGATACGAAGAACCCTTAAACTATACTATACTATTATGAAACGCCATTTGGTACATCTTTGCAGGTATCAAACCAAATCAATTAACTCTTTCTGTATGGGTTTGAGCTGGGTGCGTGATGTGTGCGTGCAATAACTGATCACTTTCACTTTTAATTATTCTTTGAGGTTTGTAAGTTCGGCGAATGTAACTACATCTAGTTTTTTGATAGTTTTATAGCCTGCGTAGCTTGGCGGTTTTGTCGAGCAGAGACCCACGAGCGGCGAAGCCGTAGCAAAAATAAAAACCGCCTGCCCGGATTCGTGAGATTTTCAACTGCCGCCACCTTAATCTCATTTTGACACCCTGATGACAAATTGTATGGTTTCAATTTCCCCAGCCTGTCAGAGGCTTGATAGTAATATGAAACTTCGCGCGTCAAGTTGCTCCCGCCCCAATCTCCCCGCGGTTTCTCTGGCCTCGTCAGCCTTTATTACTTTGCGCGCCCAACCAAAACTGCCATGCTACGCGGGCTAATAGTTTCACTAACTGGGAATTTTGATCCGGGGGCGCGGAGTACTGGCTTTGGAACTGGACATTTGCTGGTAATGTTAGAGAGCTACAACTGTACTTGTATATGGACAATAAGGTTACGAAATTACATAGTAAATGTAAATGTATTATGGTGAAATAAAGCGTAGAAAATGTTCAGGTACCACCCCAGAATTTTAATCGTAGATTCGTCCACTGATGAAAACCAATTGCGGATCTCGGAATAGTGCCCGGGAGGCCGGGCCCCCCTTATTTTCAGACCAAACATGTTATTCAAATTTGTAACGAGTGGAACAAAAGAATCTTTTGTTACAAGAACCAATGCGCTTCTGTTTTACACCTTAATATCAACAAGTGTCGTCATCATGAGTATCGCTATGAGAGCTTTCAAAAGCGACCGACAGCCAACAGAAACGGCGGGAGTTGTCCGGCATTAAATAACACATGCCGCCCACTGATTGGCTGATATTTAAACACAGATGAAAGAAGCTTTTTCTGCGCGTGTCAGGTGACTCGACCTAGTTTGTTTTTAAGAGTACCATCCTACTTTGAAGCTCTCTGGTATCCCCACTTTTACTTTTATCGTAAGTCTAACATATAGCATGGATAACATATAAATCAATCTACAATATAGCAAAAAATTTTTGGCGATCGGAGTAAATGTTACGTGGTTATAGTGCCACGCCTCTTTGGGGTCTGAGTAGAAATTCTGCTGTTGCCGGCATTTTTTCGTGAAAATCTCTCGGCTACATATAGTGCGTATTAGTGCCTTGCGTTCAACAGAGTTTCACCAAAATCGTAAAGACCCAATGCGAGAAATTCAGCGGTTTCCAAGCTTAGGTCATAATTTATGCGAAAATGATAAGCAAACTTTACACGATTATATCTAATAAACTATGAGATTTATCCCTTTATTTTGGGGATCTTTATAACAGATGGGTCCTTGCATGTCAGCAAAAAGCTTTAGGGCCTTGTAAATGCGCTCGATTTC